TCCATCGACCCCTCCCGAAACAACAGCTACCACATCGGTTGATACATCAACCATTTCTTCCTCCGGCAACATTGTTACTCCTATCAATGGACCTGCGCCGCCCGTTTTCAAAACCCCTCCACCACTACCATCTTTCACACGACCTTTCACAAACTCGAGCCTGAGTATAGATCTCGGCAGTACTACGAATGCCTCGACAACATCCCCAACTTGCACTGGCTCAGTCACTTACTTTGGCTCCGTTCCGCCCACGGTCTACGTCACAGTCACTGAAGGCTTCAACGTGACGATGACAGCCAGCAATGCGTCCATGACCGAGACACCGACTTTAATCACGCCTTTGCCTGCCTGTCAAGCAACGATCATGCCCATTGCTGCGTCATATAACCCTGCATCATCCGCCAGCGGGGAGGACCGGAGTAAAACAGAGTCGAACATTCCAGGCCCATCGACTATTCCTCAATTTGCTACCAATAATCCGTTTTTTGCTCCCGAATCCTCTGCGCCCGTGGTGCCAGGAGAAACCCCTGCCCTTGCGAGTACTCAACCACCATTGGTGTCCGCTTCGCTAGCTTCATCGGCTGTCTACTCGAGTGTCGACTATACCAGTACTGTCGTCGTCACAAAGAAGACCCCGGTTCCCGTGGTAGCCCCGCCAACCACTTCTATCGACATCAACTTCAATTTCCCCTCGCAGAATCCCACCCCTCCCCCCAGCGGAGGAGGCAATAACGGTGACAGCAATAGTGGTGATAGTGGACAAAACACTGTCAACAATGGTGGCGGTGGAAACTCCCCTTCCAGCAACAACGCACCCATAACTCCCGCAACAAACAATGGAGGTAGTTTCCCATCAATCAGTGCTCCGACTGGCGGAAGTTTGATTGTCGAAGCTCCAACAACTACACGATTGGGCAACATCATTGCTTCTATCCTCAACTCGCCCTTTGCGACTGCCTCGCCGACTAGTCGTGCCTCTGGAGCCGCTCCCTTGACCACCACTGTCAACGGTGTCCCGATCATTGTACAGCCTTTTAGCGTGGTCATTGGGAGTCAGACCGTCGCGATTCCCAATTCGGTCCCCACTACTGTGCAAGCATCTGGTGCTGTGTTTACTGTGGAGCCCTCCAAGATTATAGCTCCTTCGACGACCATAACAATATCACAGCTTCCACATGAGCAGATTGTAACGCCCATTCCAACGGGTACGATTACTACCGCATTTGGCGGTCTCACTCTCACCGTCGGGCCAACGGTCGCGATTATCTCTGGAACAACGTACAGGGTCGGGCAGGGTGCGCCAGCTACGACCGTCACCGTTGATGGAACCAGGATCTCCATCGGCTCTGCTGGCGTGGGATTGCCCGGCACTACTGTGGCGCCTGGTGGTGCGACGCCGTTTACTGTCTACACTGTAGAAGGTCTGACCTTCTCTATCGCTGGTACCGAGGCTATTGTTGGGGGCACCACATATCGCATTGGGTCGAACGCTCCCCAGCTCACTACGACCATTGGGTCGCAACATGTGTCGGTATCGCTCGGCCCTGGTGGCGTTGGACTGGCAAGCACTACGTTGACTCCTGGCGGGCCGACTGGCTCTCCCTTTGTTGTCTACACCGCTGAAGGATTAACTTTCTCGGTCGACGGTAGTGAAGCCGTTATCAGTGGCACTACTTACCGCATTGGATCCAACGCTCCCCAGGTGACCACAACCATCGGTTCGGAACGAGTGTCGGTGTCATTTGGTCCCGGGGGAATCGGCCTCGACTCGACCACGATTGTTCCACAAACAACCTCGTCACACAAATCGACCACCGAGTCAGAAACCGCATCCGCGACTACATCTCCGACACAGTCTGCAGATGTCGCCAACGACGCACTATCCAAGACTTTACCAGCCAGTCTGCGATGCTGTCTATTTGTTCTGTCTTTGGGATGGCTTGTTATTTGAACACCCGATATGACGTGATACGATGGAGTTTTAGATTTTTGATACATTGGAAATGGAAAAGTCTAGTGCCTAATAATGGCTGGGATATGGTGGAATTTGTTTGACCTTGGACTTTGGGACGATCATGATACCCGCAATACATTGACGATCTGATTGATTGGAGTTGCTCCAGTGAAGAGCCCTTTGGGAAAATGAATAAGGCGGATACGTTTGAAAGATAAATATGGTAATAGTGCCTGTGTACGGACTGAATGGTGGAAAACCACCACAAACGCACAATTTATGTGGCAAGTTGCAATATCATTTCCATCTTCAACTTGAATCATGGTTTTATCTGCACAAAAGATCTCCTGCTATCATCCCAGAAACACTCATGATAGAAGCCATGAGGAGGTTGATTTGGTTGTTATCCAAGATGTCGTTTCCAGAATTGACCAACCTGCTGCTCTCTTCACCACTGGACTTTCGGCCATGCCCTTGCACATGTGCAGGGGGCGTCTTGGGCCTCGTAAGCACCTTGAGGCCGCCGGGTCCTTCAACGATCTTCCCAGACCGCCGATCGATGACCGAGGCTTGCAGCAGTGCTCCCAAGAGAGAGTCGAGAAGCGTGCCAATCGTTCCAAGCCCTGTCAATAACGCGAACAGAGTGAGGGCGTCACAAGGCGATCCGGCACAAAAGCGCAGGAGTGCCACACTCGTAGCAGCAATGGCAGCGCTGCCTCCCACACCGGCCAAGAGTCCAGCAAGAGTCACCCCGCCGTTGGTACCTCGTGGGACAACTCGCAGCGGGTTCGTGATGAGCACTGGTTGGGATTTGGAGAGAATTCCCAGCTCGCTAGACAGAGTGTCGGCAGCCACCGCAGCATAGTTGGCCATTATCCCCATCAGCAACAGGTCAGCAAACGTGTTGCTGCTCTGTCGGCTACCACCAAAACATTCTGCGCCTTCGCTCGTGTCTACTCCAAATAGCGAGACATGCAACAAGCACAGCGCACTTGCGCACCCGCTGTTCGCAACCACCTGCAGACTCGTGCGAGGCCCTTCTCCGCCTGAAGCTCCACTACTTGACACTGTCAACGTGGCTTTTACGTCATGTTTCACTTTTGTGGCCGTCGTGCCGAGCAGGAAAAATGTGCAAAGTAAAGTGAACGGGAGGGCAGACGGATGAAGGGCGTGGATCGTTGCGGTAAGTGCTGCGGTCAAGATGCCCAGCGGTGTGAGGGATCGCCGAGTGTAGGCGCGAGTGACCAGGAGGAGGGTTACGGGAATGGCGATGATGGGACGCATCTTGGAGGTTGTGAAAGACGTCGGAGGGAGGAAGAGGACAGGGACGAAATATATGCACCACAGGAGCTGTACACCAGGCACAGTTCCAGCTGCATATGGATTATGTGTGCCTTTGTTGTTGAGTTACTAAGAAGGCTGTGGCCGCTGTGGATTGACAAGCAGGCGATGACGTCTGGCTGTGGCGTCCTGCGGTCTTCCACTCCCGCATTTGACTATCAATTCACAGACTCTCCATCTCTTTCAACAGGTATCGCCAGGCAGTCAATCCCAATCGCTGGAAAAGATCGAGGATGGGATACCACTTTCCAGAGCTTCTTGGAGCACGATGTTCACATCACTTTTGGCCAGATCTGCTATAAGGCAACCAGAAATACTTTCCCGATTCACCTCCAAAGTCGGTTCTCTGCACCACACCACCAAACGAAGGCTCCATCTGGCTCCCCCTTTCCTCCTCGACGACTATATCCCACGATATCACCTGCTCTCCTCTGCCGAGGCAGCGAAAAAACGGTCTGCGGCCTATGCCCACCTCCGTCAATGCAATCTCTGTCCACGTCTCTGCAATGTCAATCGTTACGAGACTACCGGCCACTGCTTGATCGGGGCGGAAACGGTCAAGGTATCAACCATCGCACCTCATTTTGGGGAAGAGCCATGCCTTCAAGGCCATAATGGATCCGGGTCTATATTCTTCAGTGGCTGTAACTTGAGGTGTGTGTTTTGTCAGAACCACGACATTGCCCACCAGAAAATCGGCTTCGATCTGACCCCGGAGGAGCTGGCGGAGTGGATGGTGAAGCTGCAGGAGGTGGGAAATGTGCATAATATCAACGTGGTGACGCCTGAGCATGTCGTGCCCCAAGTCGCACTGGCTATCCTGACTGCCCGGGAGATAGGCCTCAATATACCCATCGTGTACAACACTAGCGCATTTGACAGCTTAGAAAGTCTCAAGTTGATGGACGGCTTAGTCGACATCTATTTACCAGACTTCAAGGTCTGGAACAATGAGACGAGCAAGCGGCTTTTAAAAGCCGACGGATATGCAGACACGGCAAGAGAAAGCATTCGAGAGATGTATCGGCAGGTGGGTGATCTGTGCTTCACGGCTGACGGCATCGCGAAGAAAGGAGTCCTGGTCCGCCATCTTGTCATGCCGGGAAAAGAACAAGAGGGAATACAGATCATGAACTGGTTGGCCGAGGCTCTAGGGAAAGATGTCTTTGTGAATATCATGGAGCAGTATTTTCCCACGGCTCATGTCGGCAAGGAGAAAAGAGGCTCGAAGTCGGACGCCTCGAGCAAGAGATATGCGGAAATCAATCGACCGGTTACCCATGAAGAAGTCGGGGTGGTGCAGAAGGCAGCCAGAGATGCTGGACTTTGGAGATTTGCTGAGCCGGCGAGACATGGTGGCTGGAATATCTGAGTTCCAGGCTCATGGTTCCTGGCCAGTCTCTTGTCGCCATACACCCAGAACAGTCAGCCATCCGGCACCACTCACACTCGGCAAAGGCAGCAGCGCACGGCATTGTGTCAAGACCCACAAACCTTCCGCATGGTCAGAGCTTCTTTGTCCATAAAAATACACAATCTGGCCCGCCTTGGTGCTCACAGCTGCTATTGGTCAGCCTTACTTCTTTGTGAAGTTGACAGGTCAAAGACGCATCCTAGCACAAATGCCGTACGCGGAGTCAATCGGTCAATCCTTCTATCCTACAGTCTTTGAAGAGGCCTGCTCAAGTACTACCACACCTCTGCAATGGCATCTCTCCATCATCTGACACCGTTCAGCTCGACGAGACCAACACTGGTTACCGCTCAACATTCTCAAGTCCGTCAAGAGGCAGAGTACATCCAGGAGCGTATAGCCGCTGCGGAGTGCCTGTACAGACGACTAACGGCAGAGATAACAAAGACGCAACACAGACTGGTGGAAGCTCGAAAACATAAGAGTTCCGATGGGCTGACAAATTCTTTGAAAAGGAGCATCAGAAAGAAGCGATCACGTCTGAACCGATGTGTGAAGAACCGCCAGGCGTTTGAGGCAAGATTGGCCACTATCTTTGCTGAGATGGACAGAATGGAGCAACGACAATGGCGCCACAGCTCTCCGAACCTCCCCGACTTTGGGAGATCTCATGTCCCTGAGGATAGGAATGCCTCGATAGCAGTGCCGAGCTGGACGACCTCGTACATGTCAACCCCATCAGTCAGGAGCACTGTGCAGACTCTCGATATACCGACTATTCCAATGCAATTGCAATCCCTTCACCATGCTGTTCCTATTCACACTCCCCAGACACCCGTCATACGTCCAACGCAGTTTTCGCAGATAACATTAGGCCGTCCGCACGAGCAAGACTTGGGTTTCTCTCAAGCTGGCAATGATGCTGTGATCAGCCCAAGTGATACAGTTTCTTCTTATGAATTGAATTCACCAAACGGTTTTCCAGTCACTTACATTCCTGCCGCCCATCAAGCTGACGTGCTCGACGCGCTGCATCGGATGCACATCTCTACACCGCAGGAGTCTCATACGCAGCCTTCGAGTATACCAACCACAGCGATAGGGCAGGGCAATATCGATTTTTCTCATCGTCTCCGCATGTTTGATCACCAAAGTGCCGCGTTTCGACTGGAGAGAGCGGCCAGAAAGCACAAGGGCCACCGGTCGTGCTAGCGAGGTGGTACAGCCATTGGTTTTGGATGATGACTTCTGGGTTCATGTGGTAGGAGTCAGATTCGTTGTTCATTCAGAGGTACAATCAGTCGTGGATCCATTCCTGACTGCGTTGATGTCTTGCGTTTTCAATATCGCGCGACTAGTGACTGTCGCTACGGCGATGACCAACAACACCAGAGACACATGGTACATTGTTTGCTCTTTTCTTTTCTGCCGTGCGCCTCTCTGCATCTTTGTTTGCCACCAGATCCTTCCCTCTCAAGCAACTGTTCCAGTTTCTCTACGCACGCAGAACTCAGTCTTGATATCGCTAGTTAGATCAAAAGCCTTTCCAAGATTCCCTTTCCAGTTTCCTTTGCCCTTCTGTCTTTCCCTTACCGTGCCTGACTCCTTGTCCTCGTACCTGGGCGAAAGCTACCGCCATCCTCAACAATGAAGCTCTTTGTTTTGCTGTCTCTTCTTACCGCACGCTTCGTCACCTGCTTCCCGTTCATCGGACATGATACAGACAACAGCACCATAGACACGTATGACTACGTTGTCGTGGGTTGCGGAATTGCTGGTCTGGTGGTGGCTGCGAGGCTGAGCGAGGATCCAACCGTCTCTGTCGTGTGTATCGAAACTGGCTCTCTGTATGTCTCTCCCCGAATTCATGTACTGCTGACTGACAAGACGACAGTGACAACTACGAGGACTCGATCGAGATACCCGTCTACATCGGTGACCGCCCTGCAGCATACGAATGGGACATCAACACAACTCCACAGAAGCAGCTCGATGGCCAGCCACGTGTGACGGTCATGGGCAAGGGCGTCGGCGGAGGCAGTTTGATCAACGGCATGATATGGAATCGAGGCACCCAGAACGATTTCAACATCTGGGCCGCACTAGGCAATCCAGGTTGGGATTGGGAGAATCTATTACCTTACTTCAAAAAGTCCGAGACATACACACCGCGATACTACGATGGCGTCCAGAACCAGCCTGTCACATTCGACGAATCCATGCACGGCTTCGCTGGACCGGTCAACGTATCTTATCCGCAATACTTCTGGCCGCAAACTGGTAATTGACTGCCTTGCGGCGTTCCTTGCGGACAAAAGCTGACATGGTCACAGGCAACTGGTTTAAAGCACTAAATACCCTACATATTCCGGACTGCTTCGACCCCAACGACGGATTATCAGCTGGGAGTTACTTCTTGCCATCGTCGATAGATCCTGTCAATCAAACTCGCTCTGATGCGCGACGGGCATACCACGACATGGCCGCTGGTCGTCCAAATTACCACCTAATCACGAATGCTCAAGTCGGACGCGTTTTCTTCGACAGCAACTCAACAGGATCCGAGGCAGTTCGCGCAGTGGGTGTCCAAGTAGGTTCAATTCGCCAAAGCTCGTGCAGAACTGACAATTGCACAGGCCGTATATTTACTCAACGATACGACACGGTTCGTTGGAGCTACTCGCGAGGTGATCCTTGCAGCCGGTGGTATTCACACTCCGCAGATTCTCGAGCTATCTGGTATCGGCAACGCCAGTTTGCTGCAGTCTCTCGGTATCCCTCTAGTCCAAAATTTACCAGGGGTTGGAAACAACTTGCAGGATCACGCCATGATACATCTGTCATATCCATGTAAGTCCCGACGTGGCAGAATGTGCTGTTCACTCCATCCCGCAATTACCTGCTACTTGATCTAACTCAGTCACAGTCCAGAATACATCTGTCCCACGCCCAGCCTGGCTGCTCACGAATTCGAGCTTCGATGTTGCTGCAGAACGAACTTATTTCTCCTCGCGAACCGGCCCATGGACAGCGAAACCTTCGACTGCAGTTGCGTTCCCCTCTCTCGCGCAAATGGCAAACTCCACCCGGTACATCTCTCTCCTCGAAGACGCAATGGGGCGTTTCGGGCTGGTCCCGTCTGTCTTGCCACCGGAGTACTCCAGCCCGGACAGGAGCGGGTTGACCGTCCTGGTCGGGTATGGAATGCAACACAACATGGTCGCCGCGTCCCTGTTGCTCAACACCACGCCGGCGTACGAGATCCTCAACGACAACTCGGGTGGCCTGGACCTGGCGCTCATGCGGCCGCTGTCGCGAGGGACGGTGCACATCACGTCAGCTGACGAGCGACACGACCCGGCCGTCAACCCCAACTGGCTCAGCCACGCCGTCGACTTTGAGATCCTGCTGCTCGCCGTGCGATTCAACCAGAGGATCCTCTCCACGCCGCCCATGCAGGGGCTGGAGCCGGCCTTCGCCCCGGGCCCCGACGGGAGCATCGCGCGCGACATGACGCGCGAGCAGATCGCGTCGGTGCTCCGCCACGGCGTCGGCACCGAATTCCACTACTCGGGCACGGCGGCCATGCTCCCGCTCGACCTTGGCGGCGTGGTCGACCCCAACCTCACCGTCTACGGCACCCGCAACCTGCGGGTTGTCGACACGTCGCTCTTCCCCGTCATCCCCGGCGCGCATTTGCAGGCCGTGGCGTACGCCGTGGCGGAGCGCGCCGCAGACGTCATCAAGGGCATCGCCGTCGATGTTGCGGCGGGTGGTGGGGGAGGGTCGCCTGCGTAAAAGGCGATACCTGGGGTTGGTGGTCAATGTTGGATCAGGGTCACTGCAGGCGCGGAGGCAGGCAGGTAGATAGACATTGACAAACGAGCAGGCATCAGTCACAAGTGGATAGGAACACGTTGAATTGCATACCCGTCTATCCCGATGGTTATGGCGGACTCTTCATGCTCAATCTGTATTTGTCCTCTTGTATATGTGTCACACAACCCCGGCCATGCCCTGCGAAAAGTTATCCTTGTGGTGACAACCATACCTGGCTCTCGCCGTCCGCACGCGAGAGAGGGAGAGAGGGGGAGAGAGAGAGAGTTTATATACCTCTCTATTTCATTGCCAGAATCAATGACGCGGCTACCCACTCTCTCACTCTCTTAGCCGTCAACCAGGGAATGACGTATAAATGTTGTCTATCCCCCACCAAAGCATTTACCCTGGCCTCAGTGAGTGAGAACTCAGCAGTGAAGCAACCAGGAAACCCCCTTCTCAGGGCTATAGCTAGACACTTTCCCAGCTGCCTGTTTTCGTGCCAAGTGTGTCGTGGCCACTGTCCAGTCCAGTCCAGGCGATGTAATACGAGTAATGTCTAGAATCGACAAGTCTCGGTTGCCCGATTCAGGTGGGCGGTTCGCGACATGGCCTAAAGCGGCGGTGTGGGATGATTCCCATTACAAGGTGCGAGGCGTGGCAGTAGCAGTAGCAGTAGCAGTAGCAGTAGCAGTAGCAGTAGCAGTAGCAGTAGCAGTAGCAGTAGCAGTAGCAGTAGCAGTAATTGACAGCAGGGCAAGCGATAATCTTGTCACTCTTCACCACCTGGCCGGGTGGCCGGAAGGGTATCTGTGAGACCGGGATGCATGCTGTGCTGCGCTGCACAGTCAGAAGTCCCGGCGTTCCAGTTGGCACTGCGGGGAATTCGGTTTGAGAAGGGATTTTGGTCGTGTTTCGTATCTTGGTTGGTAGGTAGGTATGTACGGGACGACAAGGTCGCGAAACAGTAGAAGTAGGTACACAACTTGACCATGACAATACCTCGTACACTTCTGTCAATTACGGCTCATGTCTGGTCGACAGGGACCATTCCACGCAGTTCATCCGAACCGGCCGGACGGTGGAAGGGGAGCGTGAGCACTCACGCATGACGCGGACCCGTCGTCTTTCGTCAACGGAGCTGGTCATCATCATAAACGAGGTAGATATACGAGGTAATGAAACGAGCACAAATTACGGAGCATCTTACCCATCACTATTCGTAGCAGTAGGTACTCTGGTACTGTAAGTCCAGAGTAGTGGGCTACCCGAGTGGGACATTTCCCCCAAAATAGGTTCAGGCCATGCTGGGCATGTTACCAAAAATCCCACCCCTCCTTCCACTCTAGGCAAGTCACCAATCCACATTTGTCTAAGGTCCGTCGCTGCTTTTTTCAATCTGCCAAAAAGCAGCCTGATGGATGCTTCCCCGCAGCGAAAACAAGAAGACAAGGGGCCGCCCTATGATATGTACGGGTTGTCGGTTGTCAATGACTCGGCGGGATGGTGCAATTTGAGTATTTTTTCTTGGTTCCTACCGGTCCGCGGATAACCATTGGTTTGGGGAACAGGTGAGAGCAAGAGGATTCCATAATCAATTATTGCTCTATCGAGAGAGAAAGAGAGGGAGAGATTCGATCCGTACATAAAGCGCGTCGGCGTCCCCAAAGCTTTAGAAGTGTATTCCTCAGAAACCCCGCCTCCCATTCTGTTCTTCGGCTTCCTTTTCTGTTCGGAAGGTCCATACTCGACACACACGACAGAGATTCTTGACACAATGGCTGCAGCTAAGAAGCCCGTCCTCTACTATTTCGACCTCGGCAGCAAAGGCCGTGGCGAAGTCGTCAGGTGGGTAGGGAGTAGAAGCACATCCCTAGGACCCGATCCCTTCTGTCAAGTGTATATTCGTCACCGTCCCCGTTGCTGACTCTGAAGTGCAGGCTCTTCCTGCACGAACTCGGCATCGAGTACGAGGACAAGCGGAATCCTTATGACGCCACGTGGGGGGAGCTCAGCAAGAAGTACGAAGCTGAGGGCGTCACCATCACTCGCAAATTGCCGTCGCTGGATATCGACGGTCATGTTTTGTCCCAGGTAAGAGAAATCAGACACTAGACAAAGCCCTCTGCTGGGTTCCCCGCTATCGACGACGACGGCTTTGTCTGTGTCTCTGCCTAACCATTAGCCCAGCATGTTCCTATCCTGAGATATCTCGCACGGTCCGTGGGTGCTTACGACGGCACGACAAACTATGAGAAGTGGCTGGTGGACGCTGTTTCCGACACTTACATTGACTGGAGGGTATGTGCCGACTCTGCTATTTCCCCAACATGGCTGTGAATCTGAACTGAAACCCGACGCAGGCCCTGTGGGTAACCAACCTGTCCGAGAACAAGCCCGAGTACAAGACCACAACGGTCCCTCTTTACTACGGGATCTGGGACAAGTTCTACTCCCAGCACCCCGGCCCGTATCTCCTGGGGAACACAGTCACGTACGCCGACTTTGCCATTTTCCAGGCACTGGATAACGACGAGGTGCTCGGTTGGGGTCCGGTAAGTCAAGAAATGCTTTTCCCCAGCCATCTACCATGTTGACACTTTCCCAGGCCTCGCTCCCGGAGACTCTGAAGGCGTTGAAGGCTGCCATTTCCGAGCGTCCGAATGTTAAGGGGTACATAGCGGCGAGAAGTGCTTGATGTGATGACGCATAACAATACATTGAGCAGAGAATGTATTGTTACAAAATTTGTTCGAGGAATTATTATGTTCGATAAGTGGCCTTGGCTCAGCCACGACACGTACCTCACCGTTGCCACCAAGAGAAATGTCAATCTCCGCTGCTGTAGTGCACGTTGGCCGATCTGCTACGATGAGATCAAGGCTGGAAAAAAAAATATCACCTCAGCAGCCCAGCCAGCCGGCAGTATGGTCAAAGCTCATTTTGTCCCGTGGGCCGAGGAAACCACGCTCTCTAGTCAAAGAGTTCCTTTGGTTTCGATGCTGTAAGTCCTACTCTGCTGCGCCTCGTCGAGGGGTAGTCTTGCGAATTCGACTGCGAGTCGTGTCAGATAGCATTTGTGTTTTCACAGCGATTGCTGGAGCCGTTATTCATCGTCCGTACATAAAGCCATCTCTTTCCCAAGCGGGATATTCTTTGGACTGTACAGAGGGAGGGCATCAGGAGCCGATGTAGCCGAGTCTGTCACCGTGTAGGTACGTCTTGGACGGAATTGACTGTCGAAGTTTGGTAAACCAAGGCTATGCTCCTTCAAGCGCGATCCGCTAACAGATGTTAGAACGCCAGACGAGTCCAAGATCGTGAAAGGTTCAGTGAATGGGACATTTCTCGTATCAAGTGACGACTGGACGTGCACTTAATGAGCCAAAGCCTGCTGATGATGAGGAACAACCTGCAAGATCTGGGGAGTAGTTGCCGCAAGCAACATTAGGAAGCCAACGGTCAGTTTGTGATGCACAAGATCCCATTGTGGCTCTGGCCGGCCGCATTCCACGAAATCTGCATGACCGATTCCACAAAGGACAGTCGGACCTCCGACTCGAGCAAATGTGCATTACATCAAAGATGCCCGAGAAGCGGAGTGAACAGTTTGAAATTACGGGCTGGTTGTCTCATAGCATTCAATGGTGGTCGGTTTATGACCACTGTACCATAGGTCTCACAGCAGGACATGTTGATAGGTTGAAGAGAACAGCAGAATTCATGTATTTTCAATAAACTTGTAGATTATTCTTTCTTGTCCATCCATGGTCCGTGACCATTCCTGTATAAGTCGTTTCGCTTCTTTCTTGGCACATCTGACAGCCTTATCATACCATGCGTATAAGTCGATAATCTCCGTGCTGTAGATATACTCAATCCCAATTTCCGACCCCCTATATCAAGAAAGCAAAATGTCCCACTTCTCCACGACGCAGTATAATTCCATCTCCGCGGCGTACGACTCGGTCAACGACCTGCCCATATCGCGCGCCATCGTCATCAACGTAGAGCGCCTGATCCGGCCGTATATCCGGGGTGCGCGCGTGATGGAACTCGCGTGCGGGACGGGCTTCTTCACGCGGCACCTGCTGGACTGGGGCGCCGCGAGCGTCGTGGGCGTCGACGTGTCGCAGGGGATGGTGGACATGGCGGAGGCCGAGACGGCGAGGCTGCCCGAGCATGCTGGCAAGTACAGGTTCATGGTGGCGGACTGTAGCGCGCCGTTCTCCGCGAATGCCAATGGCAGCGGCAGCGACAGCGACAGCCACGGTACCGGCGGAGACTTCGACCTCGTCTTCGCCGCGTGGCTGCTTAACTACGCGGCAGATCAGGCCAGCATGACAGCCATGTTCCGCAACATCGCCAACCACCTCCGGCCCGACGGACGCTTCATCAGCGTCCTCCCGCACCCCGAGGACGATGACCCGATGATCTGCATCGACCATGTCAACGCACAGCGCCGTCTCGGGTACGGGTACGGGATCGAGGTCCGCCAGACGCTGGCCCTCGCCGACATCCCGCACGCGTACCACGTCCACCTATACTTCGACACGGTCCCGCCCGTCGACTTTGGGAACTACTACCTGCCGAAGCGCGTGCACGAGGCTGCAGCGCGGCAAGGCGGCATGACGGGCCCGCTGAGCTGGGAACCCGTGTGGCTTCCGGACAACTACGACGAGATTAACCGGTACATGAAGACGCCCGTGGCCGCGGGGTATTTCGACCGGTGGCTCGAGTACCCGGACTTTGGGATGTTGGTGGTGGTAAAAAGCGAAATAGATACACAATAGTAAATCGAATGGGATAGGTAGCCACACACACACAGCCACAGCGGGGTTATTTTCAGGAACCGCAACAAAAAGAACATGAGGAAAATCCTGTATCCGAGGTGACGCCGAGCCCACCTATGAGTTGGTCTCGCCCAGCCAATGAAAGCCGAAGCATTCCCAGCGACCTTCTCAGACCCCTTGATCACAAGCAGAAAAAGGTACAAACATGCCCACAACCGCCTTGCACCGAAAGACAATCGGCGAATTGAACGTACTGTCAGAACTTTTTTGCGTAGGGTTACTCCACTGTTATTATCTATACTAATTGCGTTATGCTTTCCCCTTCCTCCACCTGTCGATACGGGAGTAACCCGTGGTATCATGCCGGTAAAGCTTCAACTGTCTGATAAGTAAATCTCTCGTTCTTCAATCACCTATATCGAAACCAGACCGGTCTTCGTGCAATCGCTGCGCATCATCTTGGATTGAATGTCAAACTATATAAAGTATCAGAACTAGAAGAGTGGATTTATGGCAGCTTCAATCTGTGTATTCCGATCTTTATCTCATAAGGTAGGGGGCCCAGAAACTGCGGACTAAAAGCTTCGTTGCGAGGCTGGCACCTCCATCTGGCTTCAGTAAAACTGTCCGTTCGTCTCGATCCCTCGCCTATATGGATTAGACTCTCGACGGGTCAGAGGGTAAGAGGACTAATCGGGTTTCATAAACCCGCTAAACTCACCTCGGTTTACTGCCATCGAGCAACCACCTCTCCTTCGCCGGCTGGCACACGATTTCTATCGCCGACTACTAAACTGGCTGAAATTCGCCGTCCCTTCGAGATACATTCGTCGTCGAGGAGCAAGCTTTGACTTAATCAGAGAAAATATTTCCTCCAGGTATGGCTCTTACCATTATTCTCACGCAAGGGCTTACAAGAGCAGATTTTTCTCTACAACCCATCAGTACTTCACGCAGCTAAATTAAATGCTATTCAGTTAGTTATCGGCAACGTCCAGACGGATAAACGAGTGAGCAAAAAGTGAAGGGCTTGGAATAACCGAGAGTGTCCGTACGAACTTTCCTCAGCTGGATTATAGTGACGATATTATATATCTAGATGTTGGATCCGCTGCTGAGTTGAGAAGGTCCTTGTTTCCGTAGGTAGGAGATTTGACAGGGGCATTGACTTCAGTTACTGGTAAGTATATAAGCATAATTATTGGAAAATAATTGACATGCTGTTCAAACAAAGGAGAATGCCCTGTTTTATTTTGACGGCCGCGTCAGTTTCAGCTCTTCCTTCATGGTTCAATCGGCGAATCTCTGAGGCGATCGAGAGCAGCCTGTTACGTAAAGAACCCTAGTTTAAACGAAGGGCGGGAGACATTAATACCTGTAGCCATTGGGCTTTGATGTTGAGACATCTTGAAAATTATTTCATAGCTCTTGCTCCCGGTGGATTCTTGCGAATTTCTCCTTCAACATGTCCAGCAGCAACTCCAATCCTTCAAACACAACCTGGCTCGACAAAGGATTGGGTGGCGAGAACAAGAATAAGGGCATATAGTTGGTCTTTCCTTGGAGGCGAGAGCCATGGATTTCTCTCATACAGCCACACGAAAAGAGCCACTTCGTGTCAAACACTTCTGGAAAGAAGAAGCCCGGGCCGGCCAAGTCCAGCGCATGTCTATAGCAGCAGGTATTATATACGGTATGTAGTTAGTCCTGGCCTCATTCGTGGTGCCGCTAGAATCACAACAGCGGCCTATCATAACCCCCGTCGAGCTGTTCCAGTCTCGTGATGACTGCTCACAAAAGTTCCGATTTAAGAGCAAGTAGGCTATCATCACCCCCAGATATCAGAACCTCTTTCCGAGTTTATTTTTTATCGAGCGCTTTTCATAATAATCAGTTAAAACATGCAAATTATCGCGACCGACGATGATTTTCGGCTTGCAGTCGAGAAAGTCCCTCTACGGGCCGAAGATACGGTTCAGGACATCGATAAAGAAGGGCGTTTACTTAACCAATGGAGCTTATGGACCTCGCTGGACTCGAAGAACGTCGGGCCCGAGTGTAAAGAAGTACTGCGGCAGCTCATTAAAAAATTTGTACGTTGATATACATCGATTCTTCAGCCGCTAACCCTAGGTAAGGTCCCTAGAATTAGAGACGAATGCAGCCGCGAAAGACGACACTTTATCCCCCAACACCAGCCGAAATTAGGTTGGCTTTCGAAGGGTTTTGTTGCTCGGGATCAGGTGATCGTAATAGTGATAACACGAAAGCCCGAATACTCTAAACATTTCACGAAAGAGCCCCTCCCACTCCAACCAGACCATGCGACTACCAACCCTACAGAAATTGAGGAAGCCCCCGCAAATCATCAGCAGACTGCTTCGAAACAAACCACTGAATCGACGCCGATAAAGCAGACACCATCGACCACAATTCCCTTCGAAAAGCTCGAGGAGCAGTGCTATGGTGTCGTTATGGATTCGAATCTCGAGCCCCACCCCCTTAAGATCCCGGTTGGTGATATTCTCGTTATTCACGACGGCGAGGGTGTTGTCCTGAAGACTGGCATTTTTGGCGGGATCTTCGTGGAATTGAAAGGCGTGGATGGGGATGCCACTCCGTCCAATTAGGCCAATCCAAAGATATTTTCAGTGGAAACCCTCCTCGAAATTCACGTCTTTTACATCCACAGAGACTCCATTCGTCTCGTGGGGGGCTTCAACGCTTCGCATTTGGGCTTCAGTAGGAGTATACGTCGGAAGGGCCATTCTCCAGGTGTCTCAATTGAAGTGGCTGGCGCTGAGAATGGCAAACGCTGCGGCCGTGTGCCTTCAGCAAACAGCGAGAAGGTGTGGTTCTGACCATAACGTCGCGGGAACATATGGATATTGGGACTTGGTACTATAGGAACGTTATTTTATGCAATGCCATCACGCTATTTCGGAGCCTACAGAACTTCATCATCATTCACTAGTCGGTCTTCGTGGTCGTTGGATTTGGCTTCGGCAGAGGCCAGTAGCCGCCTTGGCGTGCACGAGCCGACGCGTGCGCTAGATCACCAGGACAGCTGGAAGGAAGAACTCATATCGATGATACATGGGCTGGAGACAAAGTTACAGCATGTCCAAGAAGAGGTCGTGGCGTTGGATTCTGGGCGACGTTATAACCAGATCATGAGAACCGAGGCGCAACATGCCGCTTGTAAAGTCCCACTACAAATATCAGAGCAGCCACAAGACGGGAGGGGACCTGTCAAACACTCTGGAATGTATTCGAAACGGTGGCACAACCTTGCCCAGCACGGAAGCAGACTGCCGACTCAAGGGTAGCAGTGCCCAGGGGAATGATGGCAGTTTCTCAATGCCGCGTCCGACCGAGCCGGCTGATACAACATGGTCACACGCTGGCCTACAGGGCTCTGGAACCGCATTCCACCGAGAGGATGCAGGCCTGGGGTCGTACAATTTGGTCCTCGGTGGGTGAAAATTCCGGATTTTGATCCAAGAGAGTTCCTCCCAAAAGTCTGAAGAATTTATTACAAACAACTGGCCATGTAACAGTTGTGATCAATTCGTCCACCACAGTACATTACTAATCAGTCCAGAGACACCTACGAATAAACGGTATTGGGTTTGATATACATATCGCTGGACCTGGGGATCTAGTGTTCACGCGCCCAAGACAGTACCATGCGGTCGTGAACGTCACGAATTGCGTGGCAATAGCAATCGATTTCGCCCCTCTGGCCCAAATCTTCCTGCCCAAAGATCTACTTGTGTGCCGACATTGCGGGCTATATAACCTCGAACACGAGCATATCCAACAAGTTCAGTATCTTCCAATATGTCCGGCGAAATGGCCGAGTACCGTGTCCGAAACAGCAGCCAACACGGTCCGAAGAGGAAACCAGAATCGAGCAGAATTTCCGTGGACTATAGAGTAGCGAAGAAAACCAAGAAAGACCAACCCTTACCAGTCGCTGAAGACATACAAGACCTGGAATAAAGCAAAAAATAGATACGAGCAGTTGACAAGCTTTGTAAGTTTCCCAGAGTAGGAGGAAACTAGTCAACTCCGATGGTTTTTCAAACTAGGAGCTGCAGTCCGGAGCCGGCGTGGTAGGGCTCCTAGAGAGGCCACCGGTAGATATAAGAATATAGGTTGCTAGCCAACTGATACATGGCAGCTACAGGAGGTGTAACACAGAAGTTCTCTACAGTGTTGGGGGTGTCCTCTGTAAGACAGCTCCCAGCATGCGATAAGTAGGAATAGGGTGTGCGCTGACTTCCCAGAATCACGTGAGGGGTCCCAGGGAAGGCTTGGCAGGCCGTGACAGAGATCTTTGAAGACTTTATTCACCAGCTCCTCCAGCATATACCTCGGTGATTTCTTGTCGTCTGCGCTCTTAGGTCATCAAATCTCTTGTAGAGTTCTAGCGGATTCTCAAAGGTATACCAAACTTCTCTGGGGACGCCAACAAATGCTTTCTGAAATCGTTCTGAGTTATCGTGATACATATTTTGTCTGGTTGTTCGAATGAAGATAGCGCGGATCCAGTGTGGGTGACGCCTAAAAATCTCCTCGTAGACCTCTGGGTCGCGCTGTCGACTGTCACCGAAGCAGATCATTTTCTAGGTGGAGATACTAAGTAGATCTTCTCGATGTGGGAAAGTTTGTATTTCTGCACGGTATCGTATGGAGGTAGCATCATTTTGAGCACCCTCTCCTTTGATGGCAGAATATTCTCTCTCCTACCGGAAATGCCGTAACATCTCGTGGAAGATTGTACGGCGATGCCGAGAGACACCAGAAGTACCGCTCTTGCAATACGTGTCTGCCTAGACAACTGTCAATATGTCTGCTTAGCCGCGCACGTGGGCGCCACTGTATTTAAGGTCCTCGGAATCGAAAGGGAATAAGAATAGACCTAGCTGAGCGGGGGAACACCTCCAAGATACCCTAAACCTCGAACATAACAATCTATACAGATCATCTCGCAAACGCCAGTCCTGCTGTTGGTCATGTCGTCGGCTCAGGAGCACTTTGCTAAAGTTGCCTCGGTCTACGAGAAGGGAACGGGAGGCGCGACGCGGAGGGTCGCAACTCACCTTGTGCAGCTGGCTTCACCCATCAAGGCAGATGCCAAAATTCTGGACAACGCATGCGGCACAGGGGTGGTCATCGATGAGCTTCTCGCGGGTGTTTCGGACGCCGCGGTGAGGAATTCTCTCATGTTCACGGTTACTGATGCTGCCGCCCCGATGGTTGAGTGCCTTCTTAGCAAAATAGGAACGCAGTGGGATATCCCTGCCGATCATGTCACGGCTCTCACTCTGGCCGCGGAGGACCTTGATGGTATCGCATCTGACAGCTTCGACTATTCCTTCACGAATTTTGGCTTTTTATTCTTCAAAGACGCTGAAAAGGCTGCGAAGCACATATATCGTACCCTGAAGCCCGGAGGTCGAGCATTCGTCACTTCCTGGAAAGACCTGGGCTACATGCAGGCAATAGAGAAGGCGGCCGTCCAAGTGCGACCGCATCACCCACCGCCGCACCTTCCCTTTGACACGGCTTGGCTCGACTCCGCACATATCAAGGATGTCTTTGAGCAAGCAGGCTTCCAGAGCGTGGACGTGCACCAACAAGCAAGTTCGTACGCGTCAGAATCAGTCCCCGCGCTCAGCCATTCGTTGGTGGGAATGATGGAGGGCATGCTGAAGATGCAGGGATGGTCGGATAGTGAGGTGGAGAGCCTTCCTCCAGAGCTCGAGCGCGCCATTGAAGGATTGACTGACGCGCTCGTGATTGAGCCAGGTGCTGCGTGGATCAAAATGATGGCACACGTAGCCGTCTGCGTTAAATAAAATACATTCACTCACTGTTCTGGAAGGGAAAAGGACAGCACTGATATATGGTGTCAGGACTTGCAGTAGGTTGATTCGCTACCTCCAGAGGTGCTATGTACACGGAGATTCTACTTGGAAAGTAGAAAGGAAACCTGCGCAAGTGACTGCCTTCCGGAGCCTGGAACAAAAATAAGACTTGTACGGCGGACATTTTAGCGAAGGTTGTGCAAATCTACTTTCAGTTAAGCTCCAGGCATTCTAGGCCTGTTACAGCGCCTACTTTTCTCTAATAGGCGTGCTGAGAGGCCCCTAGAGCACACCAATTGCATTCGCACTACTCCGTAGTGGGGAATTGATGCAGTTGTGCTTCCACGATTATCTCATTTAGGTTCGGGCCGGTGAGCCCGCCACATGTACTCCGTTCTCTGAGTCTCTCCTCTTCTACAATTCTGGTTTCCAGACCATCGACACCAGACCAAGGGGACGCGCGTGATGCGTGAATATGCGTCGACGCTCGCTGTAGCTGTAGAGTTAGCCCTTCCTTGAATGTTCGGAGGACAGGTTTGCTGCAGAGGTGTGCGTGAAAAATTTCGAGTTGAGGGTGTGTCACAGCCAAGGCTACATGTCTCGTGTGTTTCCTTCTCAGTGCCGATGTGCAGAATGCGCCAGAGTAACGAACGAACGATCTTCAGCTACGCCACACGAAAATGTTGCTTCGTCCCCGCTCGCATACGTGATAGGCATAGTTATCACAAGGGTGTTAGGGTCTTACAGGGTCTCGACCTTTTTCAGCTGTGCCCTAATAGTGATTTTAGTTTCGTTGAGCTCTGGCTGGGCAAATGTATGCAATGTAGACTCTGCAGAGGTGTAATATCAATGCCGACCTTGACGAACAACCAGTCGTGGATGAGAAGCAGGATATCTGGAAGAAACGAGTCAACAAGGTGTAATCGCATCAATGGAACACTGGAATTGTGCCGTTGAGAGGTAAGGTTAACCCTAGGCCTGATTAAACGATAAATATTATGGTAGGTAGATCAAAACTGCCGTCAATCCAGGACAAGCTTTCCCTAATCCTGCCGGGGGCAGCACATCCGTATGTCTTGTGGGCAGCTGAAACAATGAATTAAGTTGGTTGCGTAAACGAGACTGAGGGTGCCTTTCCCCGCACAATTCGAGACCATCAGATGCGAACCCTCCCAGTTTCCCGTCCTTGCAGCCACCACATTCGGAGTGGTTTGCGTCCCCCCATGCATATTTCGAACATGTGGCAGCGCTTCGATTTCTCCTGTACCGGGTTCGAACAAAGTTTCCACAATGGATCAATCATCTGGCCGACCCGACATCTTCGCGTTCCAGACTGACCATCCCAAGCGGCAGCAAGTCGTCTGGCGCAGGACGAATCAACTCCTAATACTGTGTGCTTAGAAGGCCTGGAAGGACCGATTAAAATATTTTTTGATATTGGCACCGTGGCTGGCTGAAGGCCCCCTTATGGGAAATTCACCTGGCCGTGGCTGAAAACTGGTTTCCCTTGGTCTAGTGGGAGAATAATCAACTAACAAAATATAAGATCAAGATTGATGCTACCTCGTTCTTGAATCTCTATCTTGAAAGAGCTTGCTCACATATTCACTAGACTTGATTCCGCTATGGAGGTTCCCCAAGGACTATTTGGCGAGAGAGGATGGATCGCAGAATATTATGACGAGAGAGACTTCTGCTATGAGCCTGCACCAGGGATCGAGGCAGATCCTCAGGCAAATCTTCGTGACAGCGACAAATATCGCGCTTATTGGGGGAAAATATACAACCAAGGTTCTGCCCTTAACTCCTGTGTCGCTAATGCAGCAGCAGCTCTTTTTACATATGAGCTGAACAAGGAGTTGGCAATGTCGAAGAGGCAGACTCCCCCAGCCATAGATCCTTCTCGAAGTTTCATCTGGTACAATGCCCGCAAAGTCGAGAAACCAGCCAAATTTGACAACGCTACCTGCCATACGAGAAGTGCGATGAAAGCTTTGCAGAAGGACGGGGTATGCAAAGAAACCCTCTGCCCGTATCCACAAAACCCAGATAAAACAGATGCTGTTGAAATAACCAGCAAGGAACCGTCAGAAGACGCCAAGTCTGCTGCGAAAGCCTATCAAATTGCGTGGTACGGACGACTTGACAAGAAACGCTCCCCCAAAGAAAGGCACGCTTTGGAAGAATTGGCCAACCGCTCAGCCGATGAAGCTACGAAAGAAAAGAACAGGGATGGAGAGCTTTTGAAGGAGAAGCTCTGCAAGGCCATCACTGAGGGCTATCCCGTGCTATTTGGAATTCATTATTATTCCAAGGACGCTTACAAACAGTTCGAGAAGAGGGAGTCCGGCAAATGGTTGCTGACTAGGTTGGACGAAAGGCACAAAACCCCTCCACATAAGTACCCGAGCCACGCAGTACTCGCCATTGGGTATGATGAAGAGGGAGTGACATGTCAAAGCTCATATGGAGAGGACTATTTGGACAATGGAACGTTCTTGGCGCCCTGGGCATGGATTACGGACTTTGAAGCAACAGAAGATTTTTGGACAATGAGGTTCTTCTAGCTTCTATGACATCCATTGTAGAAGACTAGCTCTATGGTCTAGATAAGCCTCAGTGAACTATACGAGAATTATAAGCTCCTCTATGAGATCCTTCATCACGTAACATGGTAAAGCATACGGGAAAATGCCTCGATTCTGGACGTGGCAGCTGGGTCTCCCCATCAGACTTTGCATTAGATATCTTCTCTGCGTGTGTGGCACATGCATTTCTTTGCTGCTGCATGCACTCCTTGTGCCATGTTCTAGCCTGGATTGAAACCTGACAGGAAGCGGCGTTCTGTATGGTCACAGCTTGTGTCGAACATAGCTTGAAATCTGCATGTGGGCGTAAGAATATAACAGCTGAAAAATCGTAGGTTCGTCAGGTCTCTGAAATGGGAAAGGATACTTCCGGGGGCTTGCCTTCGAACTTGGAACTTTCCTTGGTCCAGACCTGAACGAACGAACGAGAGATCCACACCCTTGATGTGCCCAGCTGTTCAAATGCACCAACCTGCCTCCGCACGCTTTCAGCCAGCCACAACAAAGCTTGTCACATACCGGTCACTTACACTTCTCTGGCTATTGGAGACTTGCTTGTGGAAAGATGGCAACAAGGGACAGATTTTGAAATCTACCAAATCTGATTGAGCTGAATCAAAGTGTGACAAACGCTTGTGGCTTGCGTAGTCTTGCTTTTACTCCTTCTCGACCGGTCTGGGTCGAAACCTGATTCCAGCGCTTACATTGCATCTTCATGTTCACGAGTCTGGAATACAAGTATTAAATCTAGTAGTCATGTCTGCCTCGCCTCACCCTTTTCTAACAATCACGGAGCACTCCATTATCACAAGATGTCGGAAACTGAACTCCCCCCCAGCTTAGTCGATGATGAGGGAAACTTTCCCACCATCCCAACCAACCCTGAGGACGAGAATCCAGATCGTACCTTTGGGGCAACCGCGTCGAAGTTGCTACGAGCCAACCCGAAAATCAAGGACTCCAAAGGAAAACCCTTGTCTGACTCATTCAAGGATGTCGATCCAAGATCCCTCCCTGGTGCCTTCTTTTTCATGAAAGTAACCCCCAAAAAGAAGGAAGGTTCTTCCAAAGAGCCCGAGCTCAAAGGGCAATTTGACGCGCTGGCATACGACCCTTACTTCTCCTTCGAAGAAAACACGGATGCGATCAAAAAGAGATACTTAGAGCAGCCCCCGTATCTCGAAAACCTAACTAATCGCGACACGAAGGACAATTTTGTCTCTGTCGAGGGCGACAGAAATGCATTGTGTAAGTCCTTTGCTACCATAAATCTCCCTCCTGAACCTTTTCAAGCATGATGACCGAACTGTGTGGCTAACGGGGTTCCGAAAAGCCGGTCTTTTTGGCGCGAATCCCACTGCGTATTCCAAGACCGACTGGTATTTTGACCAGCCCATCCAACTCACACTGGCGTTTAAGGCTAATAACTGGGGTCATGGCAATCCTGTTGGGTTTGCGTGGACATCCGGAAGTGCACAAACAATTGAGATTGACAAAACGTCTCCAACGCACCAATTCAGAAGGCTGTTCAGGCGCAAGGCAGAATGGAGATATGGTTTCCAGGCAAACGTGGACAAATTTACCGACCATGTGTACCTTGTGGAATACTACACTGTGCCAGTCAACCCGGTAAAATGGACCTAGCAGACCATCTTTATGTGGCTGTTGGATGGTAAAGCTTGAACAGGCCAGAGCGAATGAAGGTCGGCAGAAAGAAAACAGCCTCGTTGGCAAGGCTGAGCAAAGTCACCTGACCATACAAAGAGGAAGCCAACTCTGTTAACTATGTTGAACTCTATTAGCAGAGTGTAACATAGCAAGCAGAGCCAGAAATGTAGCTATATAGGTACGATGAGGCCCAGGAGAGGACTCATCGCAATCGACTTCGTTATCATTCCTAACCTCTGAAGTATGGCGTGAATCATCTAATAACTGCGGGGCCCAGAAACGGGACTGAGCACGGTTGATGAGAAGGATGAGGAGAGTGAGCGGCGGCCTGAGCAGGCTGGGCCGAAGTTGAGCCAGGTCACATGTTTCCTGCGTTAGGGCGGCAGGCCGCGTTCCCAAAGGATGCCAAGACCAGGTGCATTGTCGCCGCTGAATACTGATGGAAGCGGCATTGACGGTCATGTTGGTGCGGCGGCAGTCGCACCGATGCTGCAAATCCAGGGTGTCCAGGCAAAGAGAACCGAATACATGGGCACATCAACCAGCTCCACCATGTACGCAGCAGAGCTGAAAGGGATCGAGATGGCATTCCAGATTGCACTCGACGTCCAAGCAACGACGAACACGCCCGACAAGTGCACCGTCTTTGCTGATAATCAAGCTGCCATCCAAGCGATGGCCAACCCCAAATGCCCTCTGGCCAATACATCTTGGTCGATGCCATCCGAGCACTGGATCAGCTCCGAGACCAAGGATGGGAGGTTCAGCTCCGATGGATACCTGCACACATCGGCGTGCCAGGCAACGAAGTAGCCGACGCAGCCGCGAAAGAAGCTGCGGGCTACAGCCCACACGCACGAACGAACGCCAAACCACTACAGGAGCCGGAAACACTTCGGACACTCATAGCCACAACCAAATCCACCATCCGCCAGACCATGAAGGTCGAATGGGACCAGAGTTGGGAATCGGCTAAACACGGTCGGGAGCTTTTCCGACTTGGGGTCCGACCTGGAAAAGGGACCCTGACCACGCATAGGGGCACCCACCGAGCGATCAGCTCAGTCATTACACAAATGCGCAATGGGTAAATAGGCCTATTGGCCTATCTACATTCGATCAATAAAGCCGACACCGACCAGTGCCCCTACGACCACGGACGACAAACCGTACGACACGTTCTCCTGGAATGTCGCACATGGTGCGAGGAACGGCAACGAATGTGGGCGGGTAAAACTCCATGCATGGACATCAAGCAGGTTCTCTATAACTCGTCAATAGTGACCAAATCAGCCAAGATGTTATTAAGGACAGGCCTCCTGGAGCAATTCCGGGCAGTACCGTCCACAGTACTCCAATTATAACGTAGACGAGTGATTATTGTCATACAGAAGTCGAGGAGGGTCAGGAAAAGTTGAAACTTAGAACTAGGAAACGAGTGTGATGATTATGAACTACGGATGAAGTAGGCACGGCTACTTATAGCCGTGACACTGGTAGGCAGCAGCAGTGCTGCCTACAGGTATCACGTGATTGGGATCCAACTTATAGAGCGGCTGGTACAGTCTATGAATTGATGAAGAAGAAGAAGGAAGTGGGAGAGGGATTAGGATGGGGGACGAGGTTCTTATAGCCGTTAAAAGCGGCGCCGCGCCCAGCTTACGACTATACCCGAAACGGCCGGGCCGCCTAAACCGGAGGCGGATTTCCCGGCAACGACTTTACATCTCAAGGTCCTCAGTTTCATCTTAGCGTCAGGATTGGCATCGTCGACAAAAGCGACGTGTTCCGACAGTGGAGGTGGGGAATCTAATACTCAAAGCCTAGCCGATGAGCGGGAACCGTAAACTCAAATAAAACCGTCGCATCTGCTTCTTTCATTTTCGGTTTTGCCAATAAATGTTTCTTCTCCGGTTGCGAAGCTATGTTGGGGTAGTTGCGCATTGCAGATATAAAGGTTGCATGTTTACATCGCCGCCTTCTTCGAACAACTTGATATTGCAGGTGGAAAGCATCATCGTGCCCTGCTATGCTATCTTATACAAATAGCCAATGTTTTGCGCATCCACAATCCTGATGTCGCCATGCGCATCTGCTTATACAAGAACAAGGTACAACTGTCGGCAATAATATCATGACATACCATCCGTCGATGAAGGATCTCTGCCCATGAACACTGTGTACAGTCGCTTGCTGATTTGCGGCCCCAATCGCTTATCGCTCCAACCGCCGTCTTTGTTCACAGTCTTGCGAACATCTTCAAGCATCAGGTTACCGTGTTTGTCAAATCCTTTCACCAGCTTTCGAATACTCCTATATTCTTCGACGATGCCGTAGGCCATACTGGGAGTGACCCTCTGCACCTCTTGCAGCATCTTCACATATGTGTCCTTGGGGTCATCGCCAGTCCGAACCTGTCCGCTATCCATACAGAACGACGCAGATTTGAGATTGTACTCAAGCTGGGCCAGGCGGTAAGGCCGCGTAGAAAGATGTTGAGTGAGTGCGCATATCTGAAACGCCGAATCCGCGGGAGTCGATGTGTGTTGAATCAGTATCGGTTGGTGGGCGAGTTGAAGATGGAGGAGCAGGTCATCGACAATATCGGATGTCACTACCGACAAGTCCAGTGACTCGGTTGGCGCTTTTCTGCGCTTCCGACTCCTGGCCTGAGATGGAGGAGGATCAATATTCGCCGAGTCTCCACCATCGGCCTCCAACATCTGAGCACGGACAGCAGCAGTGTATGCTCTATTCTTCGCATTCTCATTCTTCCGAAGCCAGCTCCTGAGTCCTTCGATGAGATAGATTGGTACGCAGTCGCCGAAACGCCTGCGTATGGACGACACGTGTGCGTCCAGATTGGCCTTGAGCTGTGGCTCGTCCTGCACCACGCAGGTGGCGGACCCTGACTGCGACGTGGCGGCGATACCAATAAAGTCTGCAGCGGCCAAGTGAATTAGAACATGCTTTTCATTCACGATCCGACATCCGGAGGTGGGTTCCCACAGATCATCCTCGTCGTTGTACATCGATTTCACCTTACGGCGCCAAGTGACAATGCTTCCATGCCGCACTTTCTCGCCTTCTTCGACCAAGATGAACTGCTCATCCACGTAGTTGACATCGACCTGGACGTTCTTCATACGCTCTTCGACTTGATTGCCGACACTTGTATCCTTGAGAAAGCTCGACATATCCAAGATCATCTCTGGGGTCGCGTCTTTCTTATTCGTGCGCGATTTGTTGGCCTCGGCAAGGTCGGCGGCCTTCTGCTTCTCCTTGGCCTTCTGCTCCCTCTCCAGCTTCTTCTTCTCCTTTTCCGCCTCTTTCAAGGCACGTCGTTCATCTCGCGCTGCTGCCTTCTCCCCTGCCCGGTCAGCGGCATTCACAGCCTTTTCAACTTGAGATATTTTGGGAGGTTTGGTGCTTTTAACGAGGACTGGACTGGATGAGAATTCAATATCATCAAAAATCCTGGGTCCTCCAACTTCTTTTGACAGATGCGTAGATTTGGCTTTGGGTGCTTCGGGTGGTTTCGATGTAAGCCTCCTTTCGTCGGTAGACTCAGGATTGAGGGTAGCCAGAAGCTTGCTTGTCCTGTGGTCATAGCCTTCCTCCGTCGATTGTGGCAGAACCAACGGGCGGTCTCCGAGGGGATCATCTTCCAATCCATCTGACAGAAGCTCCCAGAAAACACCCGCATCCTTCTTCTTGGCTGTGGGCAAAGGTTCTGGGGCTGATGATGAGAAGGTAAGTTCGTCGAAGAAGTCAGAGTTCTTCTTCGGCTCCGACGAGTGTGAGACAGGGGCCACAGAAGTATCGAAGCTGAGCACTGCCTGCGGTCCGTCACTAGAAAGGATCTCGAGGGGTACTGAAGAGCTTCGTTCGTAGGTGACATTTGCACGTTTCGAGTTCAAGTGCGAACTCGCACCCGGAGTAGTGCGTTTCCTCTTCGAGGGCCTGTCTACCCGAAAACCAATCGAACCAGCTAATTCAAAGCTGTCGATTTCAAAATCAATCTCGTCGTCCAGCCATGTTCCCGTGCCTATTGATCTTGAAGCAGCCTTCGAGGCTTGGGAACTTTTTGGTGGTGATGACGATAGCACAATCACCTCAGTCATGGTTTGGGCCCAAAATACGTCGACCTAAAGATGAGCGCAGACAGAGAAAGTGCATCGTCTGCGTACAAGTGTTGGAGGCAGCCCGGATGAATGACGGTGGTGGTGGTGGCAACTTGGAAGTGTTGTCATTGAGGAAGTCTCGATCGGGAAAAGTCTAAACAAGCTTGGCATCCGCCCGTTGCGCGTCGTTCTCGATCGACGCGTAGAGTGTTTTATTCGTCTACCTCGTACATATTTCTAATCTACTGCCCTGTGCCAGCAAACAATTTTAGCTGGGGATCGGCCTCCGGTTTCATTCTCCTGGCGCGGGCGAATTCACTTGCCCTCCTGTCCCCTCGTCCATACTTCGCTTTGATGACAGTGGCTAGCAATGCTGCTGCGAAAGCTGCCGTGAGCCAAATAGCAAGGACAATATCTTTCCTCTCTAGAAAAGTGCTGCGCTTGCTTTTCAGCATTTGGGTCATCTCATCATTGAACTTACCCGCCATTCTACTCCTGGTAAAGTGCTCACGGACTCGTTGTCGCCCACTCTGACCCATCCTCTTGAGTTCGTCCGTGTCAAGTTCATGCAGGACTTTGTTGATCACGGCAGTCCATTGTTCCACCTTCGCAGAGTCACGCAGCCAACCTGTCTCGTTTTCGACAATGGTTTCCAATGGTCCACCAGTATTTGACGCAAGAACAGGTAGACCGTGCTGCATCGCTTCCACCGGTACGATCCCAAAGTGCTCGTTCGAAGGGGTGTACAACAAGAGCCGAGCGTTTTCCAGGAGAGTTTCCTTGAAGAACCCTGGCACAGACAACAAGAACAAGACTTGTATGCTGCTTGGAATTCCCAAAGCTGTTGGTACT